ACAACTGTAGTTTTATGCTCTGAATACTCATCCATTGAGGAGATTGCCCATCTTCCTCTCATAAAGCTGCTAGTGGAACTGCTGAGCTTTTATAAGGAACTCAACACATAATGCCACCAGTTCCTCTTGATAATACTACAGTATAGTGTAAACATAGAGGGGTTTTGTGCAGTAGGAAACAAAAGAATTTATGTGACTATCTTTATTGCAATAAACAGCTCAACTTTATTGCAGTATTCAGTTTAGAACTGAATCTGGAATGGCTCTGTATTATGCCTGTATTCAGATCTCTGGCCCAAGCCTTTTAGTCAAGAACAGTTTCAACTATGATCTTGTTTACTCACCATCTGCATATGAATGTGCCATGAAAATCTCTACTCAACTTGATCAGAAGTCAGCTCTTTTGCTCACTCCCTATAATCTTGTTCTCCAGTTTCTTATCTGAAAGTGATATTCTCCCTTTCCCAATTACCTGGTACTGAAATTTGTCCCTATCCTGTGCATTCAATCCATCATAATCTTCTGAATGTTTTCCCCTTCTGTTTTGTTCTTTTAAATTACTACACAGCCTTTGAATCTGTCCAATTCTTTGGAATGCCTTTTCTATCATGAGCTACCTTTATCTCTCACCCAGATGCACTAGTTCCTAACTCATTCTTTCATGTGCACTGTGTCCACAGAGGAATTTAAAAAACTCAATATTGTAATTTACTCTTCTTCTTAAATCTTACAAAACAAACACCCTGTAAAAAAATTCCCAAAAGCTTAAGGCCAAATGCTTAATCTGGCATCAACAACTTTTATGATCTAGCCTCTGTCTGCTTCAGTAGATTAATTTTGATTCAACTTCTTCAATGTATTTACAATTCAAAACCATCCTAAGTGCTATTTTCTTGCCTAAACACTATTCCATGTTTATTCTTCAAGTTAATTCTAATTCATATACAGTGAGTGGTTAAATTCTATTTGCTGTTCTGCCCACACTCCACTTCTACAGGGAAACCCATTTTGACCTCTTTAATGTTAGTTTATACTCTGTATTTTCTTCCTTTTATTCACTTTTTCCAACAGTTTTATCACTTCTTCTTTTACTGACTAGCTTAAAGTAAGTTCTGACACTCTAATGTCCCTCCATCAGGCTTCTGAAGCTGTAGATCATAATGAGAGGAAACTTATGATCTTCTTCCCTTGAAACTACTAGTGAATTTGAACCCCTAGAAACCCATGGTCTTTGAGTTACTAGCACGACTCTCTACAAACTACTCCACCAACACACCCTCAGCAATTTATGGATGTCTGTGGTATGGTGTATTCTTCTAAAACCTGTAAGTCTATGGCAACTGAATTTAAAAACAACCTCAAGAAAATATTTAATGAAATGAACACTTATAATCAAAGACTAGACAAGTTGTAAGATGGACGTATAAAACATAATTTATGAAAAGAGCAAATAGTCTTTGGAAAGAAGGGAGAGGAAGAAAAGACCAAAATGAATGTCAGTAGAGACTCTGAAACTTACTCTTGAATGTTGAAAAACTAAAGGGAAGAGAAGAAATCTAAAATGAGAGAGCTGGACAGAAGATTTCAAAGGGTATCTTGAGAATCCAAAGTGTAGTATTATAATGAAATGTGCAAAGAATATGCTGGATTTAAACAGTAGATTGATACAGTGACTGTAACAATGGGCTCAAGCATGATGGAGACCAGGAAGGTGGACCAGGATAGGGCAAGATTTCAATCTGTTGTTCATAGGAGGTATGAATATAGTTGACTTGAGGCACATGACAACATCATAATAGAGCAGAAACTTGGTGATGTAGTGGTTAAGCATTGAGATGCTAACTGAAAAATTAGAAGTTGATAGTTCAAACCCATCATATCTTTTATTGAAGGAAGATATGACAATCATCTATAGTAAAGATTACAGCATTAACAACCCTACGATACAGTTCTACTCCGTTATATTATTAGGTCTGTATGTGATTGAATTGACTCAACAGTATTGATGTTTTATTTGCTTTTAGGTTTTGTGAGAGGATCCTATGAGAGGTGAGGGGTACTTTAGTTTGGAAATTAGTAACTGCATTCAAAGCAGTGATAATGTATTTTGTGGGATTAATGTTTTTCTTCTCTGTAAGAATGTTAGGTGCCTTGACAATTGAGACTTAGTCTCCCTCACTCACATGACATTTCAACACTTGATGAAGTATCTAGTACACCTTAGGCTTGAAAATATTGTTGATTGAAGAAATAAGCTTACCTTATACATATGAATAAATCTTAAAAGTCGATGTTTTAATATCAATTAGAATTATTTTTTAAAGGATTTGTTTTTAAGGGAGTACCATACAGTATGTCAACATTTGAATAGGCATTACCAGTTTAGTTTGTGTATTTACATTTGTTCTAGACTATTTGGCTGAATCTATTCCATCCTAAAAATTCAATATGATATAAACCAAATTAATCTCGTGGCCTTTATTCTCTCAGCAGGCAAGAGCTTACTTCTTCACATATTAAAAATAAATGAATGTGGAAGGATATTCATGACATTCACATCATAAAAATTCACCCTGACATTTTTGCAAAGACTCTGTGTGGGATGTTGACATATTTTTGTTATAAAATGACAGTTTTAGTGCAAGTTGTTCTCATTGTGACCAAGGAGAAAGTGCAAACAAAGAGAAGAGAGTAAGTTACAGTACTATCCACAAAGGAAGTGAACCTGTCAGGTGGCAGAAAGGCAGAAAAGTACTTTCTGAAAAAATAGAAAAGTCTTGTTGTACATGGAGTGGAGAAGAGAGGATAAGTAATACTGCCTGTTTTATATTATCTGAGGAAATTAATTTCTGATTTTTTTCTATCAAATGCCATTTCATTCTATTTTGAATTCCATTAGTACTTAAAAGAACCCCGTCTTTTCAAATGACCTTTAATGAATATGTATAGATTTTGCTTGTATTTTTCCCAGTGCTGTACATATATTAACTCAGTTCTTTTTAGTAACAACTTTGTAAGGTAGGCATGCCATTGTTTTCCTTGCCATTGCACAGCTGAAAACTGAGGCTCTGGGAAATTATACAGCTTGTAAATTGGAACCACCACTCAAATCCATACATTTAACCCTGGAGTATATGGTTACACCCATTATGCTCTGCTGCCAGTGCAAGTTAGTTAATTTTAAACTTTTTACATGCTGCTAGATGATAAATTTCTATGAACTTAATCACTGTATCCTTGTATTGTATCTCCTATAAAATGTACGCCTCCATCTTGTTCATAACAGGCACACAATAAATGTTTACATTGAATTTAAATCAAACCATAATTCCATGAGTCTATTTAGTATCTAGGCATTTGATATGTATAATATGGTTTAAATGAGAAGATATCAATTTGGGGAAAATAGAAAAACTAAATTGCTATAAATAAAATAGGGAATTATTGGTATTGGTGATTCCATCTTCATTGCGATCTTCCTTCTTTTCACTCTCCTACGAATTCCACTTGCTACTATATAAAAGGTACTCTTAGCTTAGCACCTCAAATGTTTCTACTGAGGAAAACAAAATATTTCTCTTTTAAGAATAAAGACTTATCTTTCAAAAGGGATCATTTACTTTCATGATGTTTACCATTAATAGACAAGGGAGGAATTTATTTCAATAGGATGATAGCTACTGATGAAATGTAGAAATTATTCTCATTTGTATTTAAGACATAATGTGTAGGACTGTTAAACTTTTTTAATTGCCTGCCCTGTCTATATAAGTATAATTAAAAGAGTAAATGAAAAATAAATAAAACATCATTTAATATCAATTTAGAATAGGGTAGTTCTTAAATACTATAGCTATAGTGAACAAAATTCTACTGCATAAGAAGTTAAATTTAAATTTTGCCTTTTATTATATGGTATGTACACTACAAGCCTATGGACAGTAGATTAGTTTTTAAGAATGCTAAAAATAAATAAAGTTGGAATGTTAATAAACCTTTGTAGCTAATGAAACATTTGAGTTCACTGAATATGTATCTATTCATTTTAGATGGGAATATATGAGGAAGCCTTTCTTACATGAAAGTTATAATTATATGAGTAATATATTCAAATTCAATACAAAACATTTTCTTTCCCACCTTTTACTGGCAATTCTTTAGTAAGAAATTTCAAGGAATTGAAAAGGCTTAAAAAGTAATGATTAAATATGCTAATTTAACAATTTATAGTTCTTTCTAAAGAACTAAAATGAAAAGATATGTCCAAGTGGATTCTTTTCTCTAAGCTCATTATTGTCTTCTTAATATACTTAAGCATTTTTAAGTTCATCATTCTATTACGGAAATGTGCTTGCTCTTACCACTTTAAATTGTTCTACTCCGTTTATATATTTGAATGTCTGCTCCCACCTTAGATGTTGCAGCTCTTCATTCTATTAAAATACACTATGCACTCTCCAGATTATTTCTTTCTCTTTAAGAAAGTGAATATTTATTCTTCTTATGAGAAACTCTTTCCAATTCTAACCATATAAATTCATCTGCAAAGTGTATTTTGATGATCCTATTTTGCACCACTGTCAACTAATTATCCATGAAAATTAGCATTAGTTTATGAATTCATGCAAAAATAGGTGGGTACTAATTTTCAGTGATTTTGTTTGTTTTCTTCAGGAATGAAATTTTTTCAACTGAATATATTTATTGTAACAACATTCAACATATTATTATTGGGTGTCTGTGTAGATATGCTCACAAATAAGGCAGTAAGTAGCATCATGATAAATAGAGAAAATACTGAAGTTGTGAAAGATTTCATTTTATTTGGATTCACAATCAATGTCTATGGGAGTAACAGTCAAGAATTCAAATGCAGGTGGTGGCGGCGAAGGCAGCTGGATACCAACATAAACCCAGAGCCGAGGAAATCTTAACAAATTGGAAATAACATAGCTGATCCTCTTTGAGTTTCCAAGGCTGTAAGTTGACGGAAGGTTCCTGATCTTCCACAATGGGTGAACCACAGCAAGTCAGTGCACTTCCACCACCTCCGATGCAGTACATAAAGGAATATACAGATGAAAATATTCAGGAAGGCCTTGCTCCCAAGCCTCCACCTCCGATAAAGGATAGTTACATGATGTTTGGCAACCCGTTCCAATGTGATGATTTTATCATTCGCCCTTTGGAAAGTCAGGGCATTGAAAGGCTCCATCCTATGCAGTTTGATCATAAGAAAGAAATGAGAAAACTCAATATGTCTATATTTATTAATTTCTTAGACCTCTTGGATATCTTGATAAGGAGCCCTGGGAGTATAAAACGAGAAGAGAAGCTAGAGGATCTTAAGCTGCTTTTTGTCCATGTGCATCATCTTATAAATGAATA